GATGTTTCACTTCTTAGAGAGTCTTGGTAGACTTGTCCCATACTCACCGACAGGAGTTAGCTTTTTTTCAATGGGTACGAAGTAGTCCTCCGTTGCTGAAGACAAAAATCAAGGTGTCAACAAATTTTGAACAACTTTTCGCAAGAAGGGCTTAAGATATTGATATTCAGATTGGCCAACACACACACAGACCACTCACACACCAGACACACCCAGACACAAATAAGAACACCCAAAAACACTCAAAATCAAAAAGAATCGGTTATTTTGAATGAAGGCGGATGTGAAAACGCCGCAAGAGAACTTACAGCTCAAGGCTTTACAAAATCACCACTCCAAATCCAGGTGCTTACTGCTTTTTTTATTTTCCCCCATTGTTAGTGTTTCCTACAGTTCCTAGATTCCTTCCTTTCTGGAAAGCACTAGGGTGAATAATCAAAGCAAAATTAATTAATATTTTAGTATTAGTGGCGAAAATAGTAAATACAGTAAATACTGAAATGAAATCGAAGAAATCAATGAGGTGAGAGTGGTAAAAGTGGTATCGAACCGCTCACGGGCGGCCCAATTGTTGATTTGGGATGGCGACCCGCCCTCAGTAACCTGACCTACCATTCCCTTTCCGTAATGTACATATAAAGTTTGAGTAAAGTGTTGTGATCATGTCTTCAGACGACATCATCGCCTGAATTTGCAAATGAAGGGACCGCTCAAGAAGTTTTTACAAATGACTTCAGAAAACTCCAAAAAACCCTCCAGAATTGTCGCTCAGTGCTGTAATGGGAGCCAGTGCTCTTTTCAGATTCCCTGTACCAGAGAGTAATCCAACACAAGTAAGTAAGCGTTTGGGAACACTGCCACATCGAGATGTACAACTTTGTAAATCACTGCCCAATTAAGTTAATGAATCACTGTAAATCAGTAGGCTACATCAGCCTAGTTCATGGATTTATCCGATCAGGGATCCGAGGGTCCGAAAATAGGTAAGTTGCGGAAACTGCTCATGTCGTTGGGATGGTTCCTAATGTCGGGATGAATACACATTTTCTGGGTGAGCGTACACGAACACAGAAAGTGAGGTATGGGCTAAGGTTCACCGGCTGAAAGGTGACCCAAATTGCGTCCGGGCTCAAGGAGAAACAAATGCCATTTCGAGGTCAATCCCGCGCAGCCTAAGCCATCTGGCCCATTTCAAGACCATTAGAAGATATTTTGAAAGTTAATAAAGCAAAGAGATCATCACCTGAGAATATAAAAGCTAGTTACAAAAGAAACGATGGCAATCGCCACCGAGAACAAGCTTCAAACCGTGACCCGAGTTAAGCAACCCGATCAGGAAACTTTCGATCGAAGTCCCAATTCTTGCTAGCCAATAATCATAGTGTTATACTCGAGAAACTACGTCAAACTGAGACTAATCAATCCCACCAAGGTGCGTCAAGCGATTGTATCCGTCAAAATACGATCCTACTCATTGGTACTCCGAGAAGAAATTGACGATGAAAACGAGAGTCACAATATTATACGTAGAGTGCACTCTTTGAGCTCCGAGCTACCAAGATGGACCCTGAAATTCTATATTTTCCCTCTCACTTTGATTTTCCGTTCCTGAAGGGGCACGTCAACGAATCAGTACAGAACCTACAGAGATTCTTAACGAACTCATATTACTAGAAATTGTATCATGAAGACCACCGAAGAAGATCAATTTAAACAGAAACAGCAGCATCAGTCCACCGACCATCGACGTGGCGGAGACCTGATTTGATGACTCCCGAGATGATCAACTTGTTTATGGCCGCTATCCCTCGAAGGATACTCGGGTAGAGGTTCAGTTCAACTCACTTCAGCTCAACAATTTGTCGGTGCGATGCAACGCATCGTCGCCTTTATCTACCGAATACTGGGTGAGCAGCTGAAATGCTACCAGTATGAATTTGCTTTCATGCCTTCCACTTACAAACCCTAAATATTTCAGAACAACTGGCGTCTCAAACGGTGATCATGCTGCTGCCTGCCATGTTCTTATCAGGATTCACCATATGCTGCTGCTGCCAAAAAAATCTAATTCCAAAAGCTCAGGTATGAAAATCATAGTACAGAGGAAAGAACATGAGTGGAACAGCTCTTGAAGTCAATACGATCTCAAACCGTCCAAGTACTCGAACTAGACGTGAACCTCGCATCTGGGAACGGTACGGCTCAGATGGGTATAGAATCGATTAATGAAGATTGAGCTTTTTAGCGGGTTGATGAGCAGTTTTCAGAGATACTCATCGCTTTGTAATGATATTCTATCTTTCCAAAACGGTAGTAAAAAGATACATAGCTGACATGCCGACACATCTACACGAACTATGCAGAAATCAACGAAACCGTTCGGCTTAGGGAGATCTTCTCTCCTTCTCCTAGCCGGCGTACACCTAGACCGCGTTTGCCCAGCTCTGGGTACGACATACATGTCAGACCGACCGGGTGTGGTGCGTTAGGAACGAAATGGTCGCGTCGCGGTGATGGGGGCGTCACGCGCGAAGGAATGTAGCAGGATGCAGCAGTAGGTAAGAAATACAAGAACAAAAGTACTAATAGTAGAATTATGCATAAAATAATGATCGCATATCGATTAAGCTGTATGAAGAACGNCGGCGAATGAGTGGTCCGCGACAGCCGCGTGCGGCGAATCGATTACCCAAAATCGTTCCTAACGCCCGTCTCCCAGACCGACCCGTTACCCTCGATTATTAGGAATGAACAAGAGGCGATTCAAAACGATATGGATTTGAATGGGTGCACTCAATACACGAATGTTAAAAGCAACTTGATTGCCTGGCAGCTTGAATAGGATGTAGTAGGGAATACCGTATCGATGCGACCACAAAGGACCTTACATTCAGTAGTGACGGCGCGTATACGCTTCACTATACAAGACTACTTTTTCAGTACTCCAATGAATCAGAAACAAGCCGAATTTCATCGGTAAGGCATCACCTATGGCTAAACATATCCATAGACGGAAGCCAATTTTCAGTGTAGGAGAGCTTGACCGAGAATGTTCTTTTAGGGATCAAGTTCTTCATCAAGTAGCAGTCCGATTTCCGAGACCGTGAAAAATGGACATGCAACAACAGCTGAGGAAAGGGAAGCTTTCCGTTTGTGGCTACTCTCATTGAAGTCTGCAGAGAACAATAGATTCTCTCAGTCAGTTTCTGCTTCAAATAACATGGTTCCTCATACTGGGCCCACATATTCGGTCCGCAAATAATGAGGCGACCAAACGCTTATCAAGCTATACAGGCTTCCCGATACCAAACTGATGTCTAATGCTGGTTCAAAGCTGATTGAAAAATATAACTATGAAGATAGGTGGATGGAATTAAGTCATGCTCCAAAGAGATTGCAGTTCATGAGATGTGGTAGAGCAGGATGACGGAGCTTCTCCTCGAATTCCGCGGCACACGGCAGTGGTCACGCAGCGGCTACCCTATCCATCTATGGGAATTCAAACCTTTCCTCTCATAACGCACGGCTGCGCGTGATCGGATGCGGCAAGCGTGACGTCGCTTTCGAGGAGAAGATACCGGGCCCTGGTAGAGCATACCGAATGGCCAGGTGGGGCAATGGTCAAGAATATTCGGTGATACGAGGATTACGCGAGTTCTGAANAGTTCTGAACGCTTTGATTCCGAGTTAGGGAAGACCTGCACCGAGAAGAATTTCGAGATGCATATGAAGGATATTCTTATATTCGACATAACGGAAAGGAACAACAGGTCATTAACTACGGACGGGTTCAATACATGAGCCCATACATGTGCTTTCCGGAGGGGGGTGGGGCTTAATAAGCCTCACAATATTCGGGGCTGCGCTTGACTTCTAATCCTTGAGAGCTTTCCAACCAAAGCCCAAGCCACCAAGATTTGGAGTTGGGTCCTGGTAGTATACCCCCCAATAGTGAGTCCAATCGGAGTATAGGCGTTCTGCCTATTGCTCGCCATCGTTGCGGAGCCTTCACACCTACTTTACTTTGAACTCATTCAACAGGAGAGTGGGCTTCCTTGGGCATATTTGCTGTTCATGATACCTACTGTTTTTAGTCCGGGTATTGAGCACTATGGGTTATCACTGGATGAAGAGATTGATATATTTGTAGTTAGGCAAAAGCCATGCAAAGAGCAGACAGCTCTTGTCACTGGCGGCAACTCCTCACTTCTACCGCCCTGATAAGCTTACCATCCTAACCTATAGCACGATCATCCATCCTACTCTGGGCAGCTAAAACTCTGAGTCAAACTCGAATGGGCAACGGTTCTCAAAACTGCGTGCAGGCTAGAAAAACTTGTTTATGTTGACAAATACAGCCTAAAGCAGTGAATAAACATACAAGAAACGATTAATGTAGTTCAAGAAGTTTCGGTTTTCAATTTTATTCCAGACTTAACTGCGAAAAAACGCAAAGCACCATGGATGTGGATTCTACCCAACTAGATAGCACTCGTTCAACTGATGTGGGTCATTTCTCCCTTCCCTTAGGAGTAACTTTCTTTCTTCTTGATCCATGAGCTGAATGTGAACCTTAGTAATGTTGTTAAGGGTTCAAATTAGGAAGAGACAAACTATTGTTCCATACTGGTATACGATCAGGTCTCCAGCTAACATTAAGCCTTGTTATTGCCGCTTGCCATGAAACATCGCAGAGGAAAAGGTAGCAGCGAACACTTTTCACTCTTAAGATTAAGGTTGCAACCGTCCCACACAAAGTGGAGTTCAAACTTCTTCCAAATGGTAAAAAATACGGGGGAGGAGCCTTGTTCCAGTATCCTTCATCGCCTCAAATGAAAAAATATGTTGCTGAAACGGCTGTTCGAGAGCCTTAAGCGTAAGGGCGGGAAGGTGCCATCGAGCGACCGCGCGATCGGTGACACAGTTCCGGCGCGGCGCATCCTGACGGCGCATCCTGACCTATCCGTTAACGTTTGGCGTCACAATTGCAGGACAGAGGACTGGTTTAATCTCGCAATTTCAGATTCTTGGTCACAAAAAAAAACTAGTCCACTAAGATACCTGAAAATTCTTCAATTTAAAAATGCGATATTCAGACGGACGAGAACGTATTTGCTTTGAAAGCGGCTCAAAGTCAAACGATAGTCCATCCAAGTTTAGTGACGAAGAAAGGAAATATCGACAAATCATTAGTAAGTTTGTTCCATTAACTTAACACATATGAGGGCGTGGCTTGATTTGCTCAGAGCTTGAACCAGATTTCAATAGAGGATCGCAATAATAGTATTACAAAGTGCTAAGATCCCTCCCCCATGGCCTTGCCAAGCTATTCACTCAGAACGTCCGTTGAAGACGGTCGGCAATTGCTACCCATAATCTTCCTTTTGTTCTCGTAATCTTTAGGGTTGATGACTTTATGTGACACCTCCGGTCCCCTAGGTTATGCCAGATTTTTCAGTTTCGTGGACGAAACAAGGCCCAAATAAAGGCGTTAGAAGCGGAAATGCAATCAGACCGCGATTCAGATCGGGATAAAACTACGGAAGCAGTAAAACCAGTAAATGCAGAAGGATCGAAGGTAAAGTGAAAGCATATAGTGCTTATACCAAATTTCGGCGGTAGACGCAGCGCACAAGCCAAGGAAGGTGCCTAATTTTCGTTCAATTCATGGGTTCGCATCCCATTTCCTATTAACTCAACACAGATGGACTCAATGAGCATGAAATGAACTTATACTGAGTGAAATGAGATCGAACCCAAACTTTTCATGACAGCAGCACCGCCCTCCAATGCCACCTTACTCGTACCCCATTCTCCACCAGTGTGGCTTGCTTTTTTAGTATACTGATCCACCTTCCTGATTTAGTGCTTCGTCGGGATGAAGACATTCAATTTTCAAGTTTTAATGCAGGGCACAAGCCAGTACTGCCTCCCCATTTTCAGGGCACGTCTAGGATGAACCCTACCGTGCAAGCACTATTTCTAACGGCGTATAGGATATGACAGTACCATAAAAGACGGATATTATCAGGGAGGTACTCCGATACCCTCTCTTACTGTACATTTACGAATGTGGCCCAATAGCTGATCATGGTCATCCAGCGCAACTCCTTTGCAATGAGACGTGCTTCAATTTCCCCATTCACGACCTAGCAAAGCCCATAGCAACTTGGGAGGTTTCAAACGGTCCCAAAGAATTCTGATTAGAGTTGCTCCGATGCTTTTCTATCAAAATGCATCATCACCATTTGGACCAGGTTGCAGTAGCATGTGAATCATTCGCAGAAACTCAACCGCCATTAGACGCATTAGCCTATCCTTGAAGGTCGCTGTAGGTTTCGACTCGTAGCCATTAACCTCGATAGAGCCTTGCTTTAGTCATGTACTCCGTCTTTTTGATATTTAACCTGAACCGCCCTACCGCCAGGCCGTTGGATCAAGCCTGCTCACGTTGGTCGAGTACATTCTAATCTTCGCATGCGAACATCCCTTCGTCAGCATAGAGTAACGTCTGTGAGGCAGAATTCTGTGGGCCTAATGAAGTGACAAGCATGGCAGCAACAAACAAGAGCGGAAAAACACTGAGCCTTGACGTACTGCTACGGAGGTGGCAATTCTGAAGGGGTACCTACTACGTTTGTATTCGACTCACTGGATTCAACTGGAGAATGTGCACCCACAACCTCTTCGAAGATCCTATGATGCCGTTAATTCCTGAAGGGGGTGGGGAGGAGCATATCGAAGTTAATGACAGACAGACAGGCTTTCCAGACAAGTCCAACACTGTAAACAGTAGTACACTGTGAGGAGTTACTGAAATCTCAATGCTGCCTAATCCAAATGAGAGCCAGTAACTACAGAAACAATCTTGAACGTTTTCTTTTCAGATTAAATGGGCAGACTCAAAATGCGTAGTATTCGAGACATCGGAAGAGAACACGTTGGATGACGATGAGGTACCAGACGAACCCGATTTTTGGTGAACTTCACCAATCAATTGTTCATACCCTATTGATCGTCTTAATTACTCTACATTAACATTAGAAAGATAGTAACTGTGATGGTATTCACTGCGATTCATGCAATATTTGACTTGATGAACATTAATAATAAATTTGTGTAAGCTTAGCAGTTTACCATCAGCCCAACCTGCCCATATGCTGACTCGTATTAGACGTAAAGGAAACCGAATAGAATGCACACACTGATAACACCAACTAGTACACTAATGGGGAGGATTAGTCACGTCCCCAAGTATTCAGGACTTGTGGTGTTTCGAGCTGTTGAACAGCCAGCGTTCGACTACATGAACACCTGAGAGCAACAACTTTGATGGTCCTCCACCTACTCAGCTAGATTTGGCATATACCTTTCCCAATAAGTCGATATGTGCAAGTTTTACTTGCTCGTCCACTGTGTCCTCGAAATCATTGTGTGATTAACTACCAAAAAAGGAGCCTACCTACATAGCGTAGCCTAATGTAAGGGCTTCCAATGGACCGACTCCAATCCCAGAATGCACAGTGAAAAGTAAGTCACAGATCCTGCTAAACTACNNNNCAGTTATTTTTCGGGCAGTAATGTCTATGAGAATTAGCAAAAAATAGCTCCATACTTCCCACTTTTCAACACTGCTAGCTCCTGTTTCTCAACTATTTACATTCATGATACTAGTTTTTAGTCCAAAGGCATTCAATGCGACTGCAACGAGCTCGATGAATCAAAAGAAAATCCGGTTGGGGCCCACGCTAAGTAACCAGGAGGTTGTTAGGCACTTGGGTGAGAAGCGGAATATACTTTGCCCCTTCCAAAATCTCAAAATCAGTTTCTATCGAAGGTGATGGCATTTCACGTACGGTTTTTAATCATGAATAACTCAACCACGATAGTGCCTGCGCCAGTCTGGTGCCACGCAGGCCAACAGTGTGTACGTGATATTCCTCTAACGACCCGCTTTTTGAGCACAGGTCAAGGTTCTGATATGATTATGAATAAGAACAGTTGCCACATTCGCAATCAGAGCACTGATCACGATCACTGGACCCATGTTTACAAAGCAATGTGACAGATAGGAAAAAAAGTCACACCCTAATGGCGCCAGAATGAGAAAGCATCAAGAACACGAGACTGTAAGCTATCCTAAAAACGCTAAGCATAGTTCGACGGCAAACTCGCCGCTACTCGGCCGCAATCAACAACCAAACAGCAATAAACATTTATGAATAGAATATACATGAGGAAATATCAAAGTATGTATAACACGTACGACACGAAAGTAATATGTATGGCCCCGAGTATGATCCCGGAGTACAACAACACAGCATAACGATGGAAACTATGAACATGCGAACTTGAGAAGGCGATCGTCAATCGCTCGATGACTGCTGTAGGCAAAAGGAAAAGAAAACCACCTCAACAACCAGCTGGTCGTCAAGCGTTGACGATCGACGATCGCAGAATCTACATCAAAATTCTGTAATACAGACAACCCGTTCATACACGCAGACATCGCCCTACTCGAGAAAAATAAATACACTCCATGAACGGTTAGAGTCCAGACGGTCAGACGCTACGAATCGACCAATCAGATATCGCATGTACTCTGCGTTTCACTACGATATACCATTTACATATACAACCGCGTCGATGCGTGCGCAAGCGCGTTAGTGTGTAGGTGTGTGTGGCTAGACAACAATATAATGAAAACGCTGAGATGTTTGCGGTGTAAATTGAAGAACATGGAAGAAGGTAGATGAGAATGAGTATGCGATTAATGATCGATGATGGCGAACAAGATGAAAATAGACCAAAACAGACAATTTATGGAATGAACAAGTCACGCCCACCACGACATGGTTTTCGAGTACCTTAAAGGTTAGGGATTGTCAAAAGAGTCAACAATCACATTGCTTTCTATGCAACTATACAACTGACACTATTCTTGACGACAATATTATTAATTTTGCGTCCTCTGTTTACACCCGCTCCATTCAGACGGTAACACAGGATAGAAAGCGACTTTGCAGAATCATGAAAGTGGACACAGAGGAGAGGAACGAAAGAGTCAGATAGATAGAGAGCACGTGAAAGGAAGGGATTTTACCCAAACATACAAAATTAATGAACGATTATAACAATATAGGATATGTTTCACATGATAGCTGAGCTTTTTCGGACTGTAGAGGTGGGCTAACTATGTATTTTAATAAGATCTTCTCACAAGTACAGCAACATACAATATTAATTATTATTATAACGACAACGAACAAAAATACACGGTACCCGCTGCGACGACACGTAGACGATCGAGAACGATGATAAAACTTCTACACACATACACATTTGTTGACAATAACTGTCAAACCTCATCTTCGGCTTCAGAATCGGTATCTAACGAATCACCTTCACCACGACGAGGTTTCGCGCTGCCTGCGCGATTTGCCAGGCGGTACTCCACCTGAAATTCAGCTATTTTAAGAACAAAAGCCAGCACATCTACTTTCTTCAACCTCTACTGCCGCACTTCAAAACTGAGCCTTCGAAATTTTGCGAGAGAACAAGCCTGGGGTCCCCTAAGCACTGATAAATTGCACATGTAATCCGAACTACTGAGGCATTTCAACTGTCAAAAAAGTTGCAACACAATAAAAAAGCCATATTAAAGTAGCAAGACTAAAATCCTCTCTAGTAGCTCTTAAATTCGACAGAATACCTCGTCAGCTGTTTCATCGGTAGCTAAAAGTTGCATTCCTTGACCATCAGGAACATAGATTGGTTCTGAGTCTGAAGCATAGTCCGTGGCAGGATGGTTGTAGATCCACGAAGCCTGTAATGTCGTTCAAATACGAAATTCGAGAGAAAATCAACTGCAGTCAGACAGGACATAATTAGCAACACATGACGACTCGATTCCATATCCATATGCAATACGACAAATCAGGTTAATAGTTAAAGTTACATCCACATAAAGCCCTATGCAACGACTTATTTAACGATTTTTCATCAATTCCCCGACCATCCTACGCATAAATCCGGTTCAGATGAGAGACGCCAAAAGCGATGATGAGCAAATGTAATAGGCGAAAGGTGTTGAGGAGAATAGAAACTTCAAACGCACCTCTCGGAACTGATCACTAGCCAATGGGATGAGATGTTCCACGATTTGACGGAAAGTTGGTCGCTCTCGAGGTACATATCTCCAGCATTCCACCATCAAATCGTACCTACAATGGCAAATATGAGCAACCTAATCGTATAATACGGTAAAAATGGTAAAATTAAACAAAAGGAACTTTACGTAGCTGCTCTAGGTGCTCCCTAATATCAACACCTCAGAGACAACTTAAAAATTGGGCATGACTCGAAAATGTATCAGTCATCGCCTAATTCTGATGTTCTCACTTCCACTACTTTTCAGCGTAACTAAGCGAGAAGTTCCTAACCAACAACAAAATTCACTTCACTATCGACCCGTCCACCTATTTAAAGAAGTAACNGTACCCTTTTTCGAAAAATTAGTTCAACTTTTCAGAAACGTCTTTTCAGCACGTTCTCAAAGCCGTAATTGAAAGAAAAGTGTAACGGATTTTCTTTGAGACCGATCCCATCAATCATGATTAGTGACATCAGTGACCAAGTATGCAGAACATATTTTTGAAAATAACACAAAACCACAAAAACAGCCCTTTTCCTCACCCTTAACCAATTGTAAAGCAAAAGTGCATGGCTTTGCATGGCATGGCGCAAAAGTACACACTCATACAACTCGCTTCATTCAGCATAGAAACTTCATAACGATCATAAATAAATAGAAGAAGATCATAAATAGAAGTAACGTACCAGAAATCCGGACAATCCATAGGTCGGTCAAGTGTTTTTCGTGAGATACCGATGAATGAAAGCACTTCCTCATTGGCCAAACCTTGGTATGGTTGTTGGCCTAGCGTCAACATTTCATACAGTACGATACCGTAAGACCTGAGAGGAATATGAATGAATAGACGAAGAACTGTCTGATATAAATATGGCAAAAAACATTGAAGATAATCACATCGCTCACCAAACATCGCTCTTCATGTCGAACGTGCCGTCTCGCAATGACTCGGGTGCCATCCAACGGACTGGCATCAAACGTTTACCGTTTGGTTTGTAATATTCGTGATAGTAGATATCACGAGCCATGCCAAAGTCACCAATTTTCACAGTGTTATTCGCATGCACCTGAAATGCATGCCATTGCCATTGAGAATATTGATCACTACCTCATTAACTAAGGGCCAACCATGCAATTTCTGGCTGCAAGATCGCGATGACAAAACCGAATTGATTCCAAATACGCCATTCCATCAGCGATTTGGGCGGCCCATTCATAGTACTCGGCTATTGTCGGTACAGGCAGATTATCCACATTCTCTTCAGCACCAGGGCGCCGAGAACGTAAATAGTCGCGAAGATTACCCTGAAACGGGAACATTCGTAGGTGATCATATCAGCAATTTTCTTATCGCTTTTAACCCCAATACTTTCAAAGTATCAACTAGTTACATTACTACCCAGAATCACTAATTATACTTAACTACTGATAAATATCACACGTTTTATTGAAATTTCACCTTTTCCATCATTTCCATTACGACTAATACTGGCTGACCATCCGACACAACACCATACAGCTTGACAATGAATGCTTCAGCTGAGAATGACTTCATCACGTTGGCTTCTGAAAGCAACTTTTCAAAGAAATAAATCAGCTCATAAAGTCAAATCCTGCTTATATGACAGGTCCACACAAACACAAATCTTGACAATGGTAACGCCACTGACCAAGCAAAAAGTGTAGTCGCTCTGCCGAATTAGCCGTCTCCGTTACCGTCTTGATCGCGCACAAGCCAAAAGTATCACCGCATCGGGATAGGACATTATTACCATAACCACGATACACCTGTAAAAACAATGTTGACAAGGAAGTCTCATACGCTCGGAATCAAGATAAAGGTGACAACCATTACCTTTCCGAATGTTCCTCGCCCTATTTCACATTCCAACGTGAGATCAGATCGCTGCAGTTCCCACTCATCAGGCTTGTAAACGTCTGCCTGAAAGGAACCATCTCTAAGCAGTTTAGATACGCACATTCTCACGATTTCAGACTCCAGATTTCTGAGGGAAATAGGTCTGCGACTTTCCTCATTTTCACATTTTCTCTCAGATTTGAAGGCTGCCCCAGGTCACTTGAAGAATTTGTTCGATGGGTACAGCCCAGATAAAAAGCGCTCCACCCACCGTGAACATTTTTCCTGTCCATACGGTGGGTATCTGCTCATCTTGCTCATTTTTCCCCTTATGTGGACTGTTCTACGACCACAGTAACAAGTAAATTCTTTACACTGCACCTTCGAAGCATGTCCCGTCTCCTGTCAGCAGAGCTAAGCTTGGAACGTCCGCATTCGGTTCAACTTGCCCTGTAGCCCCCATATCCGTTCAACTAATTTTCGCAACACACGCACACATACACACATCCATACATCAGTATACATTCACATAGACAAAGTATTTAGTTAGCAGGGGTAGTTATTCAAAGAACAGCCAAGAAAATGTCAAAAAATCAGTCCCACAAACCTGAGACAAGTACTCCGGATTTGCTGAGATCAACTGTGTGGCGTACTCCTTCACTTTCTGCGAGTAATATTTCTTCACAAAGAAGTAGCCAACTATTCCAACTATTACAGCAAATAACAGCAAGAAGAACAACGTCAGCAGAATGTTCTGGAAACATCATGAGATGAGCATTTCAATCATCTTAATATACAGTACTCTCTTTCTATTCGCGCTTACCTTGAGTGTCCAAAATCCCGGCGTATAAATCTCAAACAGTTCTTCAGCATACGTTGGTTGGGAGACGCCAACTAACGAAACCGTACGTAATTCAACACTGAAATATTTCCACGATCAGATCTACTCCAACTCCAAGTAGTATAACCTAGCAACAAGGTCAGGTGAAGGTGACTAAGACTGTGGAAGATCAATAAATTCAGCAGGTAAAAGTTCTACATGGTTCTGGTCCCACATAACTTCCCGCTCAGCATCAAAATTCAGAAAAATCAGACCAAAAATCCGACACAATACAGTGCTGAATCCCAATAAAATCCAAAAAGTTATGTAACAATAACATAATATTCAATAAACAGAAATATGAGAAGCAAAATGAAGAAAAACTGTAATAATAACCGATAAGCGCCATCGTTCAATCCTTTGAAGACTGCGCCATTCACATTGGGAGACCAATCAGCTGATACAGGAATGCACTGATCAACAGGAGTCTGAAATACACAACAATGAACTCAATTACCCCTACGGCTGACTATCAACGCCTACTCAACCCGGTTCATTGTAACGAATCATCAAAATCAAAAAAACAATAAAAAAGCAATGAAATGAAAGCATACATACCGACTGCTTTGCAGTATTCATTACTTTCACTTTGTAGGCCACGATCATCCCGTTGGGGTCAACAGGTTTCTTCCATGTAATACGTATGTCAGACGTACCATTCAGCACTACTACATTGATCGTTGAGTTGTCCACTCTATCAGCATCCACTAAAAAGCTAACTTAAGAAAATAAAGACCATTTACAAAATTGAACATGATTCATGATGGGGATATTTCTTACTGAAGCCCGACAGCTACTTTTTTTTGACATAGCGACATACAGTAAATAGAATTCTGCTTCCTAAAAGATATTTTGCAGATTATCGAAGCCTCTATCAGCTTTTCTTTCACTCTCGCACTTCTACTTTGGGAGAATGGAAGCTTGCAGAGAGGGGATATTGAAAAGAAATAGGAATATTTAAGCAAGTCGAGGGATGGTAAATCAGCCTAGTCCATTTTCCTATGACAAAATAATGTTTACAAATATGAAGGTGAGAAGTGTCTTTTTCTTCAGAATGAAAATTTGCACATTCCTCGCATTTGAATTGCGAATTGACAATTGGACAGAGCAAAAACTGAGTATCCATTCGAAAAAATAAGTGTATTGCAAACAAATGATTGCTCCAAACGGTAAAAAACTAAAAGGTGCTTACGTGACCATCTCCCGAGAAAAAGTTAACTATCCCACGTTTTTAACTTTTCCGGTAGAATAAAAAAAATGGAATCAACCACTAACTTATTGGCTTGGTTCTCACGTACTGCCACGCTCTTTTCGCTGAGCAATGAGTTTCGGGAGCGGTTGGATCTTGACACACAGTGACTTGAATCTGAATAAAGATCTATTGAGAAAAAGAGGATATTCCCTTGCCATCACGCATGGACTTACGAAGTAGCGGGTGTAATGTTTTAGACCCTTGATCGCAAATGAGGTCGCTGTAACATTCACAGTTACCACATCGTTTCTCGCCGCTTCAGCCAATGCCTGAACCAAATTCTCATTTTTGGGCGAAAAACACGAGAGACTACGGCTATGTTCAGGTTTTGATTCGGCCCAACAGACCAATTTTGATCGGAAGGCAAGTAAGGTTTCTTGAGAAGTCTTATAACAAAGTAAATACAATAAAACAAGTTGGTTGGCATTGCTCAAAAACAGGATATCTTGACTGAAAACCTAGAAACTAACACAAAACTACTCACATTTATGCTATTCCTAGAAGCAGCTGCAGATTTTGTGCTCAACTTGGCGCCGTATCCATCTTTCGATCCCGCAGGAGTGGTGATAGCGCGACGTTTTCGAGCCACTTCTTTGCTATAACAATTATGGGATACCGTGGGATAGATAAGTAATTGGAGAGATAGTCATCTGATAGAACACACTAACACTATCACTGAAAAGTAGAAGAGAGCACATTTGGAGAAGCTGAAAGTGGAGAAAGATAGAACCCAGCCCTTTGCTATAAAGAACGGATTAACAGGACAGTGAAAGCGTGCGCCGATCCGTGTAAGACATACAGAGAAGCCTAATGACCGTAGCATAATCTGTAGTGATTCACAATCTTATACGCAAATTGCTCCGGCATCTATCGATTCAAAGCCCACAGCCACTTGATCTTTGAATCCAGTCGAACGGTCAAGACGATATCAACACTGTACGATGCACCACACAAAGAAAATTTCGTAAAATGTGCAGTCAAAGAGTCACAGACGACGCAGTACGATGATTATAAGCCAGAACGCTATATGAATGGCCTACAGGAGACGTCCGTCTTTGCCGTAGCGTCTAAAGTGATGACGGGCCGTCCTCGGTGAGCGTTTATTAGTGTCCATATCATTGGTTTCCTCAAGCGGATCAAGCTGTTCATC